CCAGGTTGTCCATTGTCTCCAGGCTGTCCAAGTCCACCATCTTGTCCAGGGTTTCCTGGGGCTCCTGGTTGACCATCAGGTCCAGGAGGTCCAGGAGGTCCGGCTGGGCCAGGTGGTCCTTGTGTGCCGGGAACTGTGGTGAGGGTTCCTGGAGCTCCTGGTGCTCCTGGGTTTCCTGGTTGTCCATCGTTTCCGGGTGATCCTGGTGGTCCAGGTGGACCAGCGCCTCCTGGGTTTCCAGCATTTCCGGGCTGTCCATCGGATCCAGGGTTTCCTGGTGCTCCCTTGCCTCCTGGGTTACCAGGTGGACCTGGAGGTCCAGCAGGGCAGTTGAAGCATGGGGTAACGTCAGGAGCTGGTGTTGCTGGTGGACCATCTGGTCCGTCTCTGCCGGGTTGTCCAGGCTGACCATCTGATCCAGGCTGTCCGTCTTGTCCTGGTGGTCCAGGTGGTCCTCCTGGAGAAACACCGCATCCACAGCATCCACCGCCGGCCTGACGGGCCTTCCTAGTGGGGGCCGCGAGAGCCTAAAGATGAGTTCTGAGAAGGTCAAGTTTTAAAGATTAATATTAGGGAAACTTTGAAAATATACCTGGGTACGAGTGACTTCTCTCCAGATGTTACCCGAGCGGGATTTGCAGAAGTCGACTTCGTTCTGCATGACCGACTGCATGTGTTGCATGTAGTTGTAGAGCATTGGCACCGAAATCACGCAGACGAGGGTGGCCACGGTGGACAGGGCCACTCCAACGAAGGCGACTCTTCTGAGGGAGAGAGCCTCAGATTCCCAATGCTTCTCGTCGCCGGTCATGCTTGTGGTTTCATGGAACGCTGCTTCTTTTATACGTTTTTTTTTCGGCGGTTTACACACACTCCTGAACATGCAGTATTGATATCGTTACGGCATTATCGACTTAGCAATTTCGATTTTCTCTTTGACTCATTTGAAGGTCGTCAAATGCGGAGTAACATGAAGGAATGTTCAGGGTCAAGTAAGACAAAGAGGACCCTTCTTTTCAAATAAATCTACTATACTACTACAGCAGGACCGTGATAAACTCAGAATCTGTTCGTACCATGCTAAGAAAGAATTGGAGCGCATGAAAATCAATGAAAAATAAGCTTTACCCAGTGTCAGCAAACATCCAGACATTTTGAAAACTTGGTGTGTTGTGTTTGAAATGTTTGGATTAGATTCATAATATTAATAAAATTCTTTTTATTTTCAATCACCTATGAATCCCTAATTCAAAGTTTTTATGCGAATTCCGGTATCCTTTTCCATGGCTCGAACTGCATCCTTCTGATTTTTTCCTTATGATTGCTAATGATTTACTCGATGGTTTCATAGACCACGCCACTCTTGAGTGTGTATCAATCGTACAAAAGGGTATGTTTCAGTGTCTATTAAGAATCAAAACAACAAATATCTGTAGCGTGCCTAGTTTTGGCGCAAACCATTGCTATTTTCGACAGTGACAAACTCGTTCGGGACATGCTCCACCAAAAGACCAACGGGAGGTGGAGATTCTTACTTTCCCTTCGTAGTGACATTTGTCCATTTTTCTATTAGATACCAGGTAGAGCCTCATAAATCTAACCGATTTGTGTAGACTTCCCGTAAAGCACCGGCTCCCACTGGGGACTTGAAGCTGTGCTCACTTGGAACTGTTTCGTCGATCCTAAGAGGTTTGAATTCGTTCTATTCCAGTTCTAGTAGATAGGCTCTGCAGATGAAACGATTACAATTACTCTTTTGTAATGTAACGCGGTGGCCCTGAGAAGACACGGTTAAAGTAGAAAACGTGAGTGACGTAGTAAGTTTTGGCGGCACTGAAATGCCCGACCTTGCTAGTCAGGGGGCATGGGAAATAACTAGTAATCTACGAGCGTAGCAAATTGATCAAGGATCATTTTCAATTTGATTAGCAGTTACAAGGGATTGATGGTTGGAGCCAAGGTTACTTTTAGTACCCTGAGTAGCCGGGTAGCAAACTCTCACTGAATGATCGTGCTGGGGTGATTCAGCTGAATTACCTCAACGATAGCTCTTGGTGATTTCAAAATCAGCAAGAAAATGGAGTTTCTGCCAGGCTCTAAATAAAAGCTGTAGCAATGAAGCCTTAATTCGAAGTCTGTCAGGGGTGGCTAGTCTTGTTCGGATCTTCAGCTTAAAGAGGCTCCAACCGTTGTGCTTGCCATGCACGGACACCAGTGTAATACAAAATTCCAGTTTGGAAGGGGCTTGAAAATTAATGAGTGCCCATAAGAACTCCGAGTATTCAACGCTCGTAGGGTAAATTTGTTTCGAGGGCGGTTACTACGAGATTTAGTTGGAAAGTTGTCAGGGACTTATGTTTACAGAATGAACATTTCCTTCAGACGCGATCGGAACTAAGCAGCACCAGAAGGATTGTAAGCAAGTACGGGACCAGTGGGACTGATCTTAAAAGTATCCAGGTAGTCAACTATTGAACTGAAGGTCTGAACTGGAAGTAAATGGGGAGGTACATGTGTAGAGGTCAAGAACCGGCTTATGCACCACGATTGCATCGAGAGTTCAGCAGCATAGTTATATAAACGTCTTGGTGCTTGAAAGAAAGCTAAATAGAGGTTGAAGTATTGAAAAGAAGCTGAACTACTGGTATTTCTTTGGCATGATGGTGAAAGGCTGAACAAGGGGGTGCAGTAGGCGATGACAGAGGAAAAGCAGAAAAGCAGCTTTGAGGTAGGATCGCCGTCAATGATTCTCAATAACAAGAATGACCCGTTTCTGGACCTCATTGTTGTGTAGAGCGAGAAAAGGATTCACAACAACAGAAGTAGGTGGCTACCTACCGGTTAGATCATGATAAACCGGGATTCCAATCACAAAGGATGACTACGTTTACGACCGAAGAGCCTTCCGCTATACTGATCCAGCTCGGAGTCCAATTGAGAAATAAGATCATGCATTCCAGCTCCACATAGATCGCAGTACCATCTGGCAAAGATTACCTGGTCGAGTCCAGTCCAGTACTGCCCAGGATCAGATCCACTGACCATACTCGCGGCGAACCTGAACGCCACAACTACACAACTGTATTGGAAATTTCGAGCGTATTTCGAGCATCACACGATCTGCATTCAGCTATGAAAACAGAAAATAGCCAACTTTCCGGTGCCAAATACAGATGTTCTCATTTAGCAGAAAGGGTCCCAGACTCGAAAGAAAGACTCGCTGAACTGGGTCAGGAAAGATTGATGGGGCTGGCTACGGGTCAGTCCACTTATCGGTTTTACTCCCGGAAATCTAGTTTGATGATGAGCTTTTCTCGAGTACCCTACGTTAAGTCAGTTCAGAGATTGGGAATAATCTTCAACTTTTTTATTCTCTATTTTCGCTAGGAACAATTGACACGTGTCCGAACTCTCAGTTTCAAATAACTTTCCACAAGACCAAGTATGAGTCAGGGCTGAAGACACTCCTGTATTCTGGAGAATTTTCCTCAGAAGGAATGTGATCATACACAGACCTTTGTCGAATCGAGAGTACAAGACTCTTTAG